TCAGCATTTAATTACAAGGAGTCTGAAGAAAGCATTGAAGGTAATTTGTCCAGGGCCTATTTTTGTTCCTTTCTTTTCAATAATTTAGAATTTAGAATGAATCCTAAAGAATTTAGAATGAATCCTAAATCATCCTTATGTATTTCAGAAATCTGTTTGAAAGTGAAACGAACAAGCGGATATCATTTTCGGCCAGAACTAGATTCTGATGATGTTTCGCCATTACTAGTTTGTTTTTTCCACGCTTCAATATGTTTTACATAATGCTAAGAGAATTTTGGTGTAATGCATAATGTTTTAAATGAAGTATTACAGTACTGACTGGAAGAATTTTCTGAAAAAACCATGGTTCTAAAATGAGGTGGGAAGAATGTAGCGAAAAATAATATTCAGTGAGCTATTCTGTTTCTGCAAGAAATTATCGCTATTTGCCACATTGCACCTGAGAAATGAGACGCCAAGAAAAAATGTTTATTTTAGGAAGACGCAACATCCTGCTCAGGAAATACCACTTACGTGAACCCGGCACTCTCGTTAGTAAAAAATGCGGGAATCTCTTGCTTTGACTAAAAAATATTGGGCCAATTAGGTGGAAAGTGAGCAATCTGATAGGAAATTTCGAACTCGTGAACTCTGCAAAACATTTTCTCCCAATCATGTTCGGTAAATACCCTTTTGCAATAAAAAGGATTGGTCATGGAATGTAACTTTTCCCCCTAAAAATGCATGAAGAACGTTGCAGTTGCACATGGTACGCGACTGTTGGAATGATTTTCCGGAAAACCGCCCGAAAATCAAAGATGTGAAAGGACTGTTAAAGACAGTGCATCACGGGCAGTACGTACCATTTTAAAATTTTAGACAATAACTGAAGAAACCAGGCTGCAGCGCGTCAGGTGCGATCATGCGTTTTTGCGCTAAACTTGCAGATTGTCAACAACAGAAATGGTCCTTACGCTGTAATTTAACAAATAGACACATATTGGCTGTATTTTGGCCTCTTCCTCCAAGCAGGGAGAAAGAGTGTCGGCTGGAATGATGGTGTTGCATTCTTAGGACCGCACGGAGCTCCGACGTGCGTGTTTATCAGTTTTTTGCACGAAGCCTGGTCGTTTTTTTGATGAATGCTCATTCATTTGAAAAAAAATACAAATTTGAAGGAAATCAGAAGATTATGAAATGTATAAAATGCACTCGCTTTTGAATTTGTAGTGAAATTGAGTATTTGTCATGTTTGCGTGCAGGGACTTTCACCTCCAAGATGAACTACGACCATACGTAAATATGGAATATCCTCGCAAAGTTTCAGCTTCGCAGTTTGTCTAATAAGCGAAAGGACCACTTCGCTACAAATATTTTTGAAGTGCCCTAAATTGTAGTGCAAGTGCAAGACGAAACTCAATTTGAGTATACGATTTCCTGTATGAACAAGAAGTATTCTGATAAAATTTCGCTGCTGTTTTCCGGCTAGCTTTAGAGTTAGCAAAATGCGAACTTTGATATGACCGTACCCTCGGTATAGGCGTATTCAGTGTTTGAATTTAAAATCTTTGGCTCATACATCACAGAGAATATCCCTACGAAGTTTCAGCTTTCTATCTTGTCTGGATTATGAAATCGTTTCCCGCAAAAGAAATTTGCATTTTTTTTCGAGAGCCCGCACGCGAGATCTGGGAGCGTATGAGCGGAGATTTTAAGAAACGAGGGTGACACATGAGGTGAGAATACGGCTCCAAAATCC